TATCCTTTATCTATTATTGTTAAAAAATTATTGTAACGATATATAGCAATTTCGGATAAGCTTTATATTAATTCATAATTTATGAAATTATAAAATTATTGTGAATGCATATTTTAGGCGTACAGGCGCGCGAAAAGAAACCTTGGCGAGATTTTTGATTGTCAAGCTGAAGCTGAACTGATTGGAACTATATCAGCAGATTTGTTAAGGGCTCAATCTTTGGCACAAACCCATCCAATAGAAATTTAAAAATTCTTTGATTTTCAATCTGGAACAGAGTTGCATGAATTGTTTTTGTGATTATTTTTTTATTATTGCTCTTTTATTATTCATCATTTAACTATTTCTAGTCTCTCAAAAAAAAAAAAAAAAATTGGTTGTGCTTTTCATTGCATGCTGTTCCTACATCTTCATGTCCTGCATCTTCACATCAATTTCTGAGATTATTTTACACTTTGAATCCCATCTGATGTGGTAGATCCTTACTTTAATGAGTCTGGTGCTTAGTATCTATTCTTGCACTGCCTTCCAGCTTTTTCTGATAGGATTTCTCAGTGCCAACCACCTCAGCTATTTGTTAGTGGTATGTTCTATGGAGAGTATATCTTGCGTTACCATGGTATTTCCTATACTCTTTCTCCAGTATTTGTAATTGTTTCAGATATTCTTTCAGCTGGTTATTCTTTGGTGCCGTATTGTTGATACATTCTTGAATGCTTCGGATTTCTTTCAAGATATTGCACTGACACCAAGTCCCACTTGCCTTCTTCCCGGGTAGTTTTTGGATGTTAGATCTAAAGTGGAAATTTCTGGGCATCATGAAGTTTCCGGGTCTTCATATTGACTCTATATCTTCCTTTTAGTATCTCATTATGCCCGGTGATCTGATAAATGGCAAGGCAGACATATTCGTGGCATGGATCTTATTTTTTCCATTGAGATCTATTCTTTGGTACTATTTAGTATTCAAATTCAAATGTTGCTGCATTGCCTTATCCTCAATTTCTATGCGACTATGGGATATATGAGACTAAAATATTGTTTGCTGTATGTTCTGTTGGCAAATCTTCCTCATGAATCTTAACTACATTCTCTCTTTATTACTATTGCGTCACACTTTTCCAGTCCGAATGGCACATTAATATTCTCGTTGAATCGAATAAACGAATCAATGCTTCGTCTTCGAACTTTCAGCAAATATCTTGTCACCCAAGTGAAGAAGATGGCTGATGGGTTTCGAATTTATATATCCACTTCTTTTGATTACCTGACTGAGGGAGTTCATTTCTGTGCAGAATACTAGTGAGACATTGCATTTCTTTGGTATATACCGCATTTGATAGCCACTTGTACAAGCTATCGATTTCAGGTGTCTTTCTGCGAAGTTCCGTTGAGTTCTCGATGAATGTCTTTAAGATTCTGTTGGCTTTCTAAAAAACCAGATATTTGCTGATCCATGTATGAAGCATTGAGTCGTAGGTTTTTCTATACACCATTAGTGGTTAAACTCGCTCCGATGGCTTGTCGCACTGGACAAATATGTCAGAGAATCTTGTCGTCAGCACCAGGATGCACAGTTTGAGAGTCGTTGTCTTATTTGTATGGACATAGGACATATTTAGTTTTTAATTTTCATATTTGTGGTGCCTTTTGCCTTTAATGCCTTATCAGTAGTTTTTAATTTTGGGGTTTTTGCAATTTTACATTCACTTTCTATAAATATTCGATTTCTATAAACGTCTAAATCTAAGTTGTATTCAATATTTAGCCGATTTTACAAAACCGTATTTTAAACTATATTTATTACATTTTAATATTGTTATAGTATAATTGGTTATATGCAAATATCTGAAGAATACGATTTACAAACTGTGAAGGGATTGTTGCGAATATTTGAAGTGGTTTGAATAAATCGCCTTTAAACATTAATAGGTTACGGTTAAGATGACATTTTTACCACTTATTTGAAGACTATCAAGCAAAAGAATAAGCGAAATGGTTTCGTAATAAGAAAAGTATTCGTGAAATTTCTTTAGGAATCTCGTAAGGTATTAATGAAATCAGAGCGACAAACTGCAATCACATTTGCATAAATCTCGAAATACGAGGAAGCCGATTTCTCCGTTGAACGAGAGAATCAAAAATTGTTTTGCAAGGTCGAAATTGTTTGATAAAAAATTATTTTTTACGCATTTTGAAAATACGATGACTTTTTTCAGTGATATTAGTAACGAAAGATTGTATTTCAAAAATTTATTTTTCATTTTAAAATTTAAAATTGCATATTTACAATTGAAAATAGCAAATGGCAATAAATGAGTTGAAGGACAACAAGTAATCCAACTATCGAATCGAATTTAGAATGGAAAAAGAATCGACGAAACAAATTATCAAAATCAGTCAGAAGAGTCCGTCGAACAACGACGATTTAAGATGCATTCGAGCGATATTGTTCGGTTGAGTGGCGGTAGCAACAACCCTTAAAATTGGGTTAGGTCATTGTTAACCATTCAGTTCAACTGGTGGCATTTATCACCAACTTTGAGGGAGAACGTCTTTCATTCTATTTTAAAGAATAGCGATGAATTATTTCTTCTTAAATATTTTTTGTTTTTTCTATTATTTTCCAGTTATTCAATTCGGTTATCCATTTTCATTGGTAAGTAAACTGGTAAATATTTTTATTCCATTCAACAGCCAATATCACTGTAATTCTGAGATTCATTTCAAATATTGAAATATTTTTAAAACAGTGGGGTGGTCGAATGGTGGGTGTATTGCTTAAATTATCAATTCATAATGGTTCGACCCTGCATCACGGAAGTAAACCTCTCATTAAAAATCAAATATCAAATTTGATTAGTGGCGGTGGTCCACTTTTTCTCGTTCCGATTGATTCTGTGGTGTTCTATCACATCCTAATAGCCACTGGAGCGAGCTAGAAACAATGATTTATATAAAAAAATTTAACAATTATAAGCTTATTACTGCAGTTTGGCTACAGCGGCTTCTCATTTCACTTGAATATATATCTATAACTTATTCCAAAAGCCAGTGGCTTCATATCTTTATTGGTTAATAATACTGAAATTTTTAAATTTTCATAGCAATTTTTTTTATTTTATTAGTGTAATATTAATTACAAATGATCGCAAAGATGTCAACCATGAATTAAATGTTAAATATTGCAATATTGCAAAATTAAAATATGATAGTGGTATGATAAAGTAGAATGGTAACAAGATGAAATAAAAATAACTGGTAAAATTTCCCTGCGCTCTCGGAATTTTTTCCACGATTTTTTTATAGGATGAATCCATATCATACTGTGAATATTTAATAGAATGTGAAAGCATGTCGCGGATGCAAGAAAGCCTTTGTCTTGGTAATAACAACTATAAAATGCCATTCTGGTTGCCATCATCGAATAAAACTGCCCATCGATGTTATTTGGCTCTCCGAAATGATTATATTTTGGTAAATTTAATTTTTTTTAATTTTTTAAAATCAGCATTATTAAATATTTTAGCAAAAGGACAAAAAGGACAAAACAATGTCTCAGATCGGCATTTTATTTCATGATAAGTCATGAAATTTGAAGCTGATCATATCGTAAAGATTTGAAATTTTTGCAAACAGCGGATTTCTCTTTAGTGATAGGTTTCGTTCTCTTCCCGAAGAATAAAAAAATCGAAGTCTATGATGGTTTGATGTAACACCTCGCTCAAAATGATAATTTGGAATCTTTGAATTGAACTATCTATATGAACTAAAGAATTTCGATTCTTTCTTAACCTTCATAGACATTTTAATCAATTCATCTTGTCATTCAAAATTCAAGATTGTCGCATACTTTACGTCATCTCTTTTATTAAAATACTGCGAATTCTTTCATCTATTTATTTATTTATTTAGTGAAAACCAGCCAAACAGGGCGCAAATTCCATGTGCTTGTATTAACAACAGTTAAAATAACAAATAATAAGAATTAATGACAAAAATAATAATAAAATAAAATAAACAATTTAACGATGAAATAAAGAGGAAATTACAAAATAATACAAATAATACAGTACAATTCGAAATAACTATAATCGGATGGTATAAGCGAGATTTCACATTTCCTGCATGATGTGAACTTTTTAAATAATATCATAAATGATATTATCTAATCTTTTTTTAAAAATGACTAGGGATGGCGCACAAGTCATATCGTTCGTAGTTTATTCCAGTAATTAATATTACGAATAAAGAAATCATGAGCTCATAGTTTCCAGTTGAAATGGCCAGCTTAAGTCTATTTAAGGTATCATAAAGATACAATAGTGTTATTTTAATCTCACCGAGAGAAGTGCAACAAATTCTATTTACGTTAAAACAAGAAGTATGAGTATTATCCTCAACAAATGCACTAGAAAGATATACTGATTAAATACATTTGCAATATCAATATCAGAGGAGATCACATTACCATTATGTTGCAGAATTAATCGTTTACGTGGATTTGAAAATTTTCTTTTGATGTAGGTCCAGAAAGAATTTCTATTAATATTTAAAAGTTAATATTCTATTAATATTCAAAAGTTGCTTTTCTTTATTTGAAAAGTAAATTATGAATGGCATTACGGAAACTTCTTAAACATTCTTTGTATGCAGAGAGGTCACATGGCAATTTGGTTAATTTATTACAAAGCTTATAAAGCTTCTTATATATAAAGCTTCTCGACACTTTTTTAAAGAGATTTTAAAAAAATGAAAATCGTCTTAGAGTTTTTTTTTAGAGGGATATATTTTCCTATAAGATATAAAATGATGCTATTAAGAAAGTTACTTTTTCATCAAGAGGGAGAGTTAAACAAAATAAGAAATCCCAGTTTATTTCTGCAAAGATAATTAAAAATTAAAATAAAATGATAGAATTAAAAATTTTATAATCAGTGACGGTAATTTCTAGAATATATCGCACTCCATGATTTTTTTTTAGGTGGAACATTTGAACTTAAAACTGGAGAAATTATTGCTTTCTTGTGTCATAGAGCGAACCCTACCACTCGACACAGCAATGGTTGGTTTTTTTCGACTAAGAATTTAAGTATAGTCGATCCACTTATAAATAGTTCCTGAATATAAATAGTTTCCATATTTTTTCCTTGTGCACCTGTTATGTTTGGATGCTTACATAGCAATTTCATTGGTACATTGATTTCTCCATTTACACTGTTTTTTATTACTATCGTAATAATATTGTTTACAGAATAATTGCAATTAGCTGCAATGCTTGAAAAACCAAAAAACAAAATGAAATTATTGAATTTAAAGGATTCGTAGAATTTATAAACAAGTTCTTCGAATTTGGTGTGATTGTTTCAGGCAATTCGTTGCAATATATCCCTTTTTTTCCTCGTTAACGAGTTGCGTGATTCGAATGGATTCCTTATCGTAGATAACTGTTTTCAAGGAAGTAAAAGATCTATAAAACAATGTTCTCCTTTGAAAACATGTTGTTCTTCTTTTCACTTGTAAGTCCAAAAAACAAGTAAACTTCTGTTTCTGATGTTCCTTTAAAAAACCAATTTATTCACCGATTTTATTTGTTGGCTTGTAGATTTTGGAGATCTTTGAATTATCACCCTTTTTATATGATTTTTTTTTAAAAAAAACTCTTGCTAGCTAGATTTGCTGCTTTGTCTTTTCCCATTAGACAAATACGCCAGGTAGTCCCTTGGTGATAGAAGTGTAGGTGAACAGCTTCACCTGGTTTCTTGAAGATTTACTCTTACAACCTCAGCATCAATGAATCTAAGCTTCGATTTTTTGTGGTTCAAGTTATCTTGCCACTGCTTACTTTTTTATAAACTTTTTTATAAATCCATGAATATAATTATTTTCTAAAATTTTTATAAGAACTTAAAAAAAGTGAGAAGTAGTTGAAAAGAATTTAAATGTAGTCAACAGAAGGCAGAATAGTCGAGCTTAATAGCTTAGATTAAAGTATCAAAAATCAGTTTCGGGCCTTTCGAAAAATCAGTTTCGGGCTGTTCTCGAAATAGGAATAAATCTATTAAAAAATCTTGGTGCTGGCAAACCCGCCTGTACTTTTATTGCTATGTGATTCTTGATTCCTAATATTAACAAACAATGTGGTGAGGCTAATCAGAAATGGTGAGCATCAATTAAATAATAGAGATAGTTAATTTTCTGCGCCTTAGTGGTGGTGCCCAGTAGTCTATTTTCAACCATTTTCTGGTTGAATTGAAAACAATTCACTTTTTTTGTTTATATTTGTCCTCTAACAGATTTCACCTTACTGGTTACGCTGGCTTAGCTGGCTATAAGGCCAAAACGTTTCCAAGCTGCTCGATCTGATGCCATCACTGGTAAAAGCCATTCCCTCTTCCATCGTCTAAGACCATATATCGCTGGTCCCCCTAAAGGTTCAAAATCTTTCCTGACTATATCAATTCAGGTCTTGATTGGTCTACTTCTCTTCTGACGCCTGCTACTGTTAATGCAAGTAGCATTTGACATTAAACATGGTCAAAGGAAGAAAGAATTTGACATTTGACATTAAACATGGTCAAAGGAAGACAATTTCTTAATATTTTTCATCGGCCATGTCTTGCAGCCTTATAGCAAGGTTAACCGATTTGCAATTATATAGATACGGATTTTCATTTTTATAATGATTTTGTGTCAACTTCATAAAGGTTTCGTCAACCGGAAGAATATATCCCTATTGTCTAGGTTGTAATTTCTCTTTCGCTTGGCCATCTGGAGCTAGAGTGGATCCAAGAGTGGAGGGATAGAATGGTTCAGTGGATAGTTGCTCAATTGGGAGTGCCGATATTGAGGTTCGATCCCCCGCAGGAGTAAACCTGTACAAAAATCCGGGTGATGCTGGCGACTCACCTGTACTTCTATTGCCAAGGGATTCCCTGGCACATTTGTCCAGTGCGATAAGCCGGTGGAGCGAGTTTAACCAGTAATGGTGAGGATTTTTAAAAAAAAAAAATATAAAAAAAATCTGGAGCTAGAGTGGATCCAAGATACTTAAAGCTTGGTAATTTCTCAATCAGCGATGGATTAATAAAAATAGGTATTTTATCAGCTTCTGGTATATAAACGAAAAGATTCGTTTCATTCACACTGATTTGCACTGATCCTGAATCTGATTCTCGCTGTCCAAGATCTGTGATACGATGCTCTGGATTAATTTGGACACCCTTGCCGACAAGCGGTGTCCATTATCAAGTCTATCGGATAGTCTTATTTCAAAATAATTCCTGTCAATTCCCTGTATACACAGGCCTGTTCCAGGATATGCTGATATGCTGATAAAATGCCTTTATGAGTCGAATGATCTTCTTAGGAACACGGTCGCATTTCATCACCCTCCAAAGCGCCGTTCTATCAGCTGAATCGAAGACAGCCACAAAGTCGATGAAACACTTAACGCTGGGTTGCTGATATTTGAAGCGATATTCTCATACTTAGCGTAAGTATCAGCACAGCTGTATTTTAATCTGTATTTTAGTCCAGCTTGATTAGGGTACTTTCTAGTACTGCCATAAGTCTATTCAATAAAAGGGTGAAGATTTTTCCGGAGATGTTTAATAGGCTGATCCTCGGTAATTGTCGCAATATGTGCTGTTACTTTTCCTGAAAATTGGGAGCAGAATCGCTTTGCTTCGGTTATCTAGTATTATTTTGTATTATTTCTTTCTTCCAAACTAGAGAGTACTTTTGTTTAAAGTTTGATGTGAAGGACGATAGGCAATACTTAAGAGTTCGGCCGAAGAAATATCCCTGGGTGTTTTATTGGGCCTAAGCTTCCAGAAGAAATTAGTTTCTTTCTTGTTCCACTCTGAACATTCGCAGTTGCAAACATATCGTGAGGCTGGGAGAGCGATTCAGCTATGTCGCGAACAAGAGATAGTGCAGATGGTCAAGTTTCGCCTTTTCGCCTCAAAGAATACTTTACAGAGCGATTTATTCTTAATAGCTTTAATAGGTACACCTCTATCTCGTATCATTTCGCTGACTTTCATAAATTATAGTTGTTTTATGAAGAAGGCAGAATAATTTCCTATTACCGCATATTCCAATCATCGTCTCTATTTTCAAGGCCATATGGCTTTAATAGTGATTTCTGTCTCACGATTCTGGTGTTCTCACTGCTGTTCTTGAATCCTTCGAAAGATTCGATGGTCAGAATCTTCTGGCGATTTCGTAGCATTTTCGGATTGTAATAGTTGGTTCCGACATCCAACTAGTGCTATTAGCAGCTGCTATTATAGAAGTGTATTGACAGGCTTCGAGCAATCACTCTAGCTCAAGCCTTGAGATCATTTTATTATACCTAGATTTATAATTATCGTATACCACCGGGCTCTCATGCATATCGGAAGACGCGGATGCCGTATCAGGGAAATCCATATCCTTTCACCACAGAACCTTTTTTAATTGCTGTGCTTATTTTAAAATTCATTCTTCAGATGTCAAAGAATGGTTGAAACTTCATTTTTGGTTAATAGAAGGAATAAAAAAATCCAAGAAATTAGAAAAAAGGCGAAGGATTGTGAAGTACTTTTTTTCTAAGCCAAAATTTCAAATTTGAAAGAAGGAATTATATTAAAAATATTTATTGAAAATAAAAAAAGAATGAATGAAAGAAATATTGAGAAGATAGATGAAAAAATTAGATTTTTGCTTTCATACAAAGATAAAATCTTATGTTATTTAATAATTTGTTATCAATAATGAATTTGGCAAGCAACCATTGAATAAATCATTATTTTTAATTGTTATATTTTACAGGCGGGTTTACTTGCTGATAAAGTAGACACTGATAATTTTATTGAAGAAGAAGTAGACAATGGTGGAAAATATAGTACGTTAGAAAAAACCATTGATAAGTTGAAGAAGTCTTTCACCGTCGAACGATATCATAAGCGTTATCTCGACTTACAGCAAAATAAAGAACATAGCAATGTGAGATTTTTTAAGATTTTAAAATTTTTTTCAAATGAAATTAGTGAAGGATAGTGAATAAAATTCCGAATGCAAAACCATCGATTAAAAAAATAAATTTGAAAAATGATTCAATTGCTTGGATTCTATTGTTGTTTCTCGATTTTGATTTTAAAAGGTAATATTTAAAAGGTAATAATCGAATAACTGTAAACGCCATTATTTATTGTTATTCGTATATAATGCTCTCTCGAAACTTCGAAATGCTTCGACTAATTTTCAGTCCTCCCATAATTTTTTTTCCTTTTTTAAGTTTATTTTTATTTTATTTTTTTTGTCTTAATTTTTCCCAGATTTTTTTCAGATTTTTATCTCTGTCTTTGATAGGAATAAACCTTTCACAATATCAAAAATCCCACTGGCTACTGAGGAACTACTTTTATATCCCTAAGTGACTCTATGGTGAAAAAGGTCTTTTTGATACGTTCTCCCAGCACATGCATTAAGTATTTATAAAATGGTATTAAAATAACCTCAAGGCTTGAGAATATGATGAGCAAGGATAATTTCTCAAAGCCTGTCAAAGGAAACGAAAACCTTCTATGTATTAGCTATAGCATCATGAAAAATCAGAATGCTTATGGATTTTTCGCGTCAAGAGATATCATTATCTAAATTCTTTCTAAATATCATATTGATATTGCTTGGTTGTCGTAGGCCCACCTTCATTTCGGATAACTTGGAACGAAATGGAGTAACGATTACCATGTCTGAAAAAACTCGGTTCGCTCTGAATGAATAAAACCTTATGGTTTATGCCGGCTTTAAAAGAATGTTCTACAACATCTCATCAATGTATATGCTTCAACTTTATTTGCAGATGTCCGTGATAAGGATAAATTCTGTATGGGACTCCAACTAATAATATCATTCTATCAAAAAATGACATGGTCATAACCGAAGGAGATCGGAATACGCCAGTAGATTACGATGCCGCTGTAGTAAACTTGGTAATTGGCGCATCGGGGGGCCGGTGTGCCAATGGAGAACGCCTTTTTTGCTTCGTCGAGAACTATGAACTTTTTTTATTAAAACATACTCCCAGCATCGAAGAAGACATCATCATGAAATTCACATGAAATTCTCCGGATAATCAATACTTCAACTAATTTGATTATATCCTGGTCAGTTACACTAAATTAGAACAATTCCATACTAGACAATCGTTCCCACTGCGGTACTGACAACCTTTATGAAACGGATCACGTTATGCTTCGAGATAAGATTCTTTAAAACTGATGGTACCTTCTTTGGAGACATTCCAACTCGAAGAAACAGCTTTTTCAGCTATCTCAAACTAAAAGATTTGGGGACAATAAGTACATTTCAAACTGAATTATTGAAGCACCTCAATGAAGTGGATATCATTGTCATCTCTGGAACAGCAGATGAATATATACTGGTCCCAGTTAAAAGAATATCTCCGAAAATCAACCACTTTTATACTAGGATGTGCTAATAGCGCTAATTGGATATCGAAAGCAATTATCAGTCCGAAAATGCTACGAAAGCACTGCCAGAAGATTCTGACCATCGAATCCTTCGAAGAATTAAGAATCGCAGTATGGTGAGACAGAAATCGCTATTAAAGCCATATGACCTTGAAAATGGAGACGATGGCTGGAAAATAGGATAATAGGATTATGCGATAATAGGAAATTATATTCTACCTTCTTCATGAAACCTTAAGAAATAGTCACTGAAATGATACGGGATAGCGATAGTGTGCCTTTTAAGGCCCTTATGGTATAAGGAGTTTTTTGAGGTCAAATTTAACCATAGTACGCCATCTCAGATATAGCTGCTTCACCGCCAGCAGAATAGGAAATAATCTGTCTTATCTCTAGATGCTTAAGGCCATTTCCAGTTTTCGGACCGAACTCTTCCAACATCGTTCCTTCGTTTTTCATATCGCATCTTCAACAAATGTACCGTCTAGTAGAGTGCTGGAACATCGCTTCAAATATCGGTAATTCATTATCACTTCTTTTTTTCACTTCTTTCGTCGATTTTGCAGCTGGCTTCAATTCAATTGACAAAGTAGCGCTTTGAAGCGTGATGGAGGCGCTCATAAAATCATTATCAGCATACATCGGCACAATCAATATATATGGGGAACTGACAGATTTTTTCGAAATAAGAATTGGTATCCTGTCAGCAAGAAAAGCTACAGTCAGCGTATTCCATCCTTATATTATTCAACTATGCAATAGACTATATAATAGACATTGCTTGTTCACACTCAAGCTGTATAAATCAGTCCAGAACAAAGTAATACCGCAAACATTGAATACGCTGGTAGCCCTGAATAGCTCTTTTTGTTGACGGTTATGATGAATGCAAATAATGTTAAACAGTATGTCAACAACTTCAGCGAGAATAGAGTCCAAGGTCGATGTTCATAAAGCAAAAATCTTTTTGTCTTACATACAAGAAGCAATAAAATACCTATTTTTATCAATTCATTGCTGGTTGAGGAAATGCCCAATTTTAAATATTTTGAACCCAGTTTAATTTCAAGCGGCCAAACCAAAGTTGAGATTACAAACCGGATATGGATAATTATAAATGCATTCTTGCGAAAAGCTTTATGGAGTTATCATAATCAAAATGGCTGCAATTTGTTCGATCATATTATATGGTTGCAAGATATGACCAGTGAAAGTGAGGAGAATTATCTTCCTTTCACCATCTAAAATACATTTTACTGGTTCACCGAGCGGGTAAAATTTCAGTTACATCCACCTTCGCTCAGATACTATCTCTATCAACAATAACATCACAGGTCATCGTTGTTTAGGGCACATTCTTCGTCGCTTACCAGGAAAGTTGGCATATATTTCTTTCCTTTCCTTGCTAAACTCTATGATGGATGATCTCAAAGCAGAGTAAGCCAATCGTGACCTGGAAGAAAAGTCAAGAAAAGTTTTGAACATATAAGTGGGCCAGCTATATATGGGCTTAGAGGATGAAAAAAGGAATGGCTATTATTATTATCAACGGTGGCATCGGATCGAATAGCTTAGCGATGTCTTACCCTACCCTACCCTGCCAGCGGAGTCACTATAACCAGTAATGGTGAAAACTATTAGAAGATCGTGGGTTCAATTCGCTCGTTTTTTGGTTAAAGTAAAATTCCCTTTGCAGTGCATATAGTTTCTATCTCCTTGTGATTCTCGTGCTCTTAGAAGTCTTATCCTTTGGGCCAATGGAAACCCAGCCTAAAAATTTTGAGTGTTGTTAAAAAAATATCGAAAGAGAGCAAGATTTTTTTAAGATTTTGGGCGAATTTCTATTATGTCGATTTATATTGCAAATTATTTTGAGGCAACATCTTTCATATTGTTCAGGAGATAAAGAACGCGATAGTTTAAGTTTTAATTTAGAGTCTAAATCTTAAAAATTCGTTTCCAAATTTTTGTGATGAATTTCGTATTAGGTACCTCTGAATAAATCTCTGAAAACCTCTGAACAAACGTCTAACAAATGGAGCAATAGAATACGTGAAACGATGACGAATGAAACTGTTTCAGTACGCCAACATGAACGAAAAATAAATTCCTTGAATTCTGTAGGTGACTCGGATGATCTTGCAATATTTTCATCAACAACAAGAAACGATGATCAAAGTAAATTTGAATTCCAAATCGATGTATTTACTTCAAGACAGAAATTCCCGCTATTCATTCCCAATTGTTTCAGATTTTCCTATAATTGAAATATGGAAAGAAGAAAAAAATGCTGAACGAGAACGTGTATTGCCTGAAAATTTTGAAACTAAGTGGAATAATGCCGATTATAAACATGAAATCGAGATTTACCACGCTCAAAAAGGCTTCTCAATTCTAGAGGTAGAATTTTTGGAAGTTATTTAATCTTTCAGATTATAGAACCATAAAAGAAGCTGTAAGGTCAGATCAAGCTTACTGAGGATCCATCTTTATTTTTATTCCCAAGAGGCTCTGTAGCCAAAATTTTTCACTCAAATAATCAGCGGACTTAATCAAACTATTAAAAGTGCTGCTAAAGGAATCACATTTCAATTATACAGCACTATCTAAATAACATGGTAGAATTCTAGAATTAGAAGAACCTCGAAGAAAGATGAAGATATTCAATTTCAAAAAATGGATTTAAACGAGTTTAGGCCAGCAGTTCAACTTCCTTACTTAAATTTCCAGTCTTTAATCAAATCTGTAGATGAATGGATAGTTTTGTGCGAGAGATTTTTCAAAAAAGAATCGATAAACAGTTGAAAATTTATTTTAAAAAATTCTATCTTCATTTATGGTTTAATTTAATTTTTCAGTCTCAAATTATTTTTCAGTTTTTCGTAAAAGTCATATTTCTCATAAAAACAACTATCAAAAATGTAACATCACCTTTCAGAAATGTTAAATTTATGGGATTTTTTTTTTAGGATAGATTGCTGCGAACCTCTTGTGACCAGTTCATTCATTGCAGACATCTGGTAATTTTCATTTATTCCATACCTAATAATTTTATCATTTATTATTCTAGCAGTTAAAACTAAATGGTGAAATAGTGAATTAGAATGAGAAAATGGATTTCATTATATTATAAATTTTTTATAAAAGAAAAGAATTTGTTTTCTACAAATTTTTTTTGTTTTTGCTAAATTGTTTTTTAAAAATTAAATAAATTAAATAAAAATTAAATTAAATTGTTGACAGTGATAATTAAATGAAAGTAAAGATGTTTTTAACAGCAGAAATTACAAAGTAAAGTAATTTTTCCTTTTTTGTTATCTTTTTATCTTCAGTGAAATATTGTTTTTCAGGTCGTTCGTGGTTTAGATAGATGTCGCTTAATCAGCCAACATAGAGAACCAGACCTTTTCCCAAGACTATCAACTGAATCATTACTTCAAATTGGCTATAAATGTGGAAATAACAAAAGTGAACTATATTCTCAACTTTATGAATTGGCAATTGAAAGAAATAAGAGAATCCGAATTTGTTTAAATAATTCAATTAATAAGAAGGTAATCAATTTGTTAAGAATTTATCAAAAATAGTTAAATTATGGTGATTGCGGGTGAAAATACAAAAAGTCACATTTTGACTTGGATCAACAAAATATGGCATTCTAATGCATTTGCTTAATACTTAATAATTCAAATTTATAAAAATCGATTCCCATTTCTTGACCCACGATTTTCTTCAATTCTTCTCTCCCTTCAGTTGGCATGTAATATCAGTGAAAGGTCGAGAATAGGGCGAGTGGAGAGTGGTGTAAATTATCGTGTTGAAAGACGGTTCTTTTCTTTTCCAAGCGAAATATAATTGCTATTCTCAAATGTAATTAAATTTTTCGTTAAATAGTATGGGTATTGCCAAGTGAATCTCTGGCTAAAATTTAACCGTATTAACAGCCAGTGGAGCTACTGTTTGTTTTACTTGTTTTAAGACAAAAAAATCGTAAATGATTTTTCAGGAAGCGAAATGTTCTGAAAATATGGATTTACTGGGACGAAAAATTGCTATCAGATTATTTCAAGAACGATACGCAAGCGAATATGATTGCTATTCAGATGTAAATTCACTTCAATTTATATGTAATAGGCTAAAATATTGTTGTCCTAATTTTTACAGGTAAAATTAATAACTAACCAAAATTTTTAATAATATCGTAAATAGAGTGAAAATGGCAATTTAAAATTTTCTACATTCTTTTTCCAGATGTCAAGAAACTGCTCATGATTCTGCGATGGAACGGAAAATTCTTAGACTCACATTAAGTTTGACTGCAAGCAACCATCAGTGTTTGATGCGAATAATGGATGATAATGGTAGAAATCATTAATCATGAAGTAAGAGAAGGCGAAAAGAGGGCGACAAAAATGAAATATATTGAAAATCCATAGCCATAGACGAAAATGAATATTTTATCTAAAAAAAATCTACTTCCAAATTAATTGTCTATTTTGAAAAATTCTGAGGTTTTATCAAAAAAAAAGATTAGTTTGATACCATTTTATGTTTACAGGCTTCTTTGATCTCGCAATTCTTTTTGTTTCTTAAGATCCATCATTAAATATAATTAATTCTGCAACCGGCATGAAAAACTATGTCTATACAAGCAAAACCTTATGCAGAAACGGTTCAATTCAATACCTGGAATGTTAAATTTCAGTTCAATTATGAATCATTAAATATTCTGAAAATCTCCTCTACATACGAAAGTTATTTGATGCTATCATTTTTTCTTGTAAAACAATCTTGAAAATGGAAATGAGACTAGTTTGTCAATCGCTTGTAGAGTTATAGATGGTTGATCTTAACGCAAGTGGATCCAGAGTATAAGTGGATTTCAATTTTAATGGCATGACTGATTCCGTCAATAGATTAACCGAACCTACAATGATTTGACCTTAACTGAAACATTCTGTTCTTCTATTCCAAACATTGTACTACATAATTCATTTAAACTGACTATGATTTTAGTAATTTACTTTTCAGTGATAATCTATTTATCAAATTAATTGTCCACTTCAACGGTTTTATCGAAAAATTTTCCAAGTTCAGTATAGTAAGAATTTATTTTACACCGCATTTAATCAGTAAAAAGAATCAAAGAAAAAAAAATAAAAGTTAGCAAAATTAGCGAGACGAGCTAGTTTGGTCAGATAGATGATAAACTAGATTTAATATTAACCTAATTCATTTTTTTTTCTTTTGTGATAATATATGAACTGGCGATAGCATTGAATTATAATATTCCACGGAAAGATGAAAAATAAAGTATAATTATAATAAAATGAAAAAATTGTATATAAAGACTTGAATAGACTCAATCACATTACCTAATGTGATAAAATGTGATAATTTTTTCAATAATTTACAAAGACGATACATTTATTAATTTCAAGCAATACTAAGGGAATAAATACATTTAATATATTGTATGAATCTTCATGCTCAAATGAGAAGGTTGCTTTTCGATATTCGAAAAACTACGAACTTTTATTAAGCCATATGGTTGTCCAAATCGGCCTAAAGAACGAGCATTTAATAGACTTGACGATTTTTTTAGTAATGAAGAAGATGGTGGATCCGATACATTCGTTTTTTGTGGACGATAAGATTCCCTTGCTGCAAATGGCGTAATTAAAAAAATTCTTTTAAACTTTATTTCTTTCAATTTAACTTCTTATTTATTATATTTTATTATTATAATATAACCACTAGATAAAGACTGTTTTTTTACTTTTTATTCTCATTTACTTATTTATTCTTATTCTTATTTATTCTTATTTACTTATAGATTAGTTCGATCACATGAATCTCTAGGCAGGATTAACCTGCTATCAAAGCGGCAAACCAATGAAACTTGGGAATCACCCATACATTTTTCTCACTAGCCATAAAACCTCGTCTTATTCGTAGCCAATAGAGCCAGTCGGAGTAGAAATGGTGAATGCTGGTGAGAAAAGAATTCATGAGAAAAGAATTCATCCATAGCACTAAAAATTTACTAATTCTATCTACATTTTCGCTCATGAATTTAATTTCAAAATAATAAACCATGATGAAAAAAAAAGCATGAACCACCAAATTTTTTTGTTGATAAGGGTATTGTTTTATGGCTAGTTTGGCCAATTATTATTGAATCGCGACCAGTTGGTGGACGATATTTAACAATGCTTTGAGCTGCATCATTTATTTCTTCCTTTCTGGTCGACCAATTGGTTTTGATATTTTCGACTTCAGTTCCATTAATGTGAGCTGCAGTCAAACCACCATTCATGAGTGAAGCAGCATTTTCCACATTTTTAACAACATTCCTTCCAAAAATGGAAGAGCTTTCACTTGTTGTTGAATTATTCTTGGTTGATATTGCAGATCCATTTGCTATTGCCATAAAATCTGAACAAAATTTAAATTAAAATTTAATACAATATGTAAAGACGAGCTTCCATAAGTTTAAAATTGTCATGCTTTTTATCCACTTGAATTTCATAATAAGCATATTATTTTAACTAAGGTTAAATCATCATAGGTCCAATTATTGTCCTTCGGCAAGAACAACTTACCATTAAAAATATGCCATATTTCATATAATTCAAAAAAGATTAGTAGTGAAAAAATACAATTCAAACGCATGAAGTATGTCGAAAAATTTGCTTATTTTCGCAGTGTTATTGCTAAAAGAAAAATTTTCGATTTACTTGATTTCTGCCTAGAAAGAGACATTCGAGATTTCTCAGCGCGAGGCATTGGGCTAGGCGTCCGCTGGGTGACGGTGACCTTTGGCTGGGGTCGTGCGATGGCTGTTTTAGGAACTTGAGTTCTTGTTCTCCATCGTCCTATATCTGCTTTTTCACCAGTGCTGTATTTTTGAACATTAAAAATATGAAACTGAAAAATCGCTTCGCTTAATTCGAAAAAATTCCTACTCTAAATCTGACTTTCTTTGAGATTCATTAATGATTCGTGTTATGAATCCTTCACCATTTGAACTGAATGTAGAAGCGCTTTTCCGTAAAACTATGTTCTCTTTATCCTCTGGATTTTCCTTCCATAATTCTTCTTCTTCCTTTTCTTTTGCTTCATCTGCTCGGTTTTTCTCAATTCTCGTTTCTACTCTCGATAATTCATATGCATACTAAAAATTTTCTGTTGTTATTTGCTTTCATGAAAAGCAACAATATTCCAATTCTAATATAAAATAAATATAACAATTTTATCGAGAAAAAATATATATTAAAATCAAAAAAAATTAGAAAAAATGAAACGAACCGTTTGGATTAAGTGGCGTGTGAAAGCATTTTGCTCGTTGGAAAGCATATCACGCACGATTTTCTCAATTTGTTGAAGAATGATCTCATCATCTGGTAAAATTAAATTTTCCTTTATCTTTGACAAAATTTTGCAAAGTTGTAATCTAAAAGAATCATCATATCACGATATATGACGACTTCATACAAGAAAAATTTCTATCACAACAAGCAGATTCCAATATTTTGAAACTTATTATAAAATTTTACAAAGCGAAAGCAGTGAAATAAATCTTAAAATGGTAGAATGACGCAGAATCGTTATTGCGCATTTCGGAGCGCCTGCGTTGCAGTTCTGCTCCTTGTAGGACCTGTCTTTTAAAAGACCGGATGCTGGCGACTCACTCACTTGTACTTCTGTAGCCGAGTGAGTTGCTGGCAAAATTTGTCTGATCTGCCAGTGAAGCGAGCCTAGCTGGTAAATCCTCTTATAAAGAAATGAAACTTGTCTTACCTAATATTAGAAATCTTGTCTGCCGCGAGACTTAAAAGAGGTTGTAGAAAATTTTCATGAAAAAATTTTCTACTGAAATTTGAAATGATAAATGGAGTAATATCAATCAAAATTCGTCGTCGATGACAACTCTGATGCTTCGATACGGCTGAAGAGTTATCTTTTGATAGCAGATATGGACTTCAGTTATTAAGATTCAAATAAATTATTATCATCAGAAAAAAATCAGAGGGAATTTACTTAAATATCTATTTAAAGTTTATCCATTTCAAAAATATTTATAGATCTAAAGAATTCACAAATCTTCGTTGAATCAAATTTTTTCTATAAAGAATACTTAAATGTTACGATCATCAGTCACACTCTGCCTTTTTTTTCGAAACAGCATTCACTATTTTTTTAACAGCATCTGGTCTAGTTCCACTGCTTATTAGGAAACCACTTGTTAAAGAAAACTAATAGAATAGAAATAAAATAAATAAACTCTAGCACGATTCAGATTTCACTTTTAACTATAAATTTATTTCCAAGGGCAGGAACCGAATCTTAATCTTAATCTTAAGAAATATATCATCAGCTATTCTGCCTTTATACTCTCGTAATGTGATTGAATTATTAACTAAACTATGACAAAAAATCGAAAAAAAACTATCAATTATACCTCAAAATGAATGAAATCTTAACTTACAATGAATAAAAAAGTCGCTAACTGATTGTCGAGCTATTTTATCCCGATTTTCGCGCATTACCAGCAATAATGTGGAAGCTGCAGCCACTCGACATGGAATCGCTCTCTGAAATAGTAAATGAAGTTTTGCACTGTTAATATGAACGTTATATACATCGTTGAACTTCTTTGGACAAAACTGAAAGCCACAGGAGTTCATTTTGGAATATGGTAGTTAATATGGAAGAAAATTTTTCTCGCAAAGATTTAGAATCTTAGGTAAAAGAATTTTTAGTGACAGAATCTACTCTCATTGAGAGATAAAATGGACAAAAGCTTCTTAGTTAAGAGGTAGAAGTGAAGACTTTAAGACTTTAATTCATGATTGAAAATCAAATTTTAGTTGGAATTTCGATTATTTCTTAAAATTAATTTCCTAATTGAAAACTTACGCCAGTCAACACTTCTTGTTTTAGCATTGGAACAAAACTGATGAAAATTTCATTCGCAGGTAAAAATTTTCGTATTACTGCAATATTTAAAAGGTAAGATTGATGTGCACGCCATAAACTTGTTCCTCGTATCAAGCGATTGCATCCGATAAGGATCCTGTCCAATTGTATCTTATTCACTTGCTAAGATTTAAGTAATTAATGAAGAAAGTGAAGAAAGCAAGATATATGAAAAATTATAATTTTGAATTCCCCTTTTTAGAGATACAGAAAAATCTGAAAATATTATGAATTATTTAATGGAAAATCAAATGGAGCATCGAAAACCTATCAAAAAAAAAGCAAAATCTTCAAAAGAAAACGAGACTTACGCGGCCATTGGATGAATTCATAGCACATTTGTATAAAGATGGCAGAATTTGATCAAGATTGCCGGTTAAATGACCAACAACTTCACTGGCACTGCATCGAATCAATTCAATAAATGAAGATATGAGACGTGCTTCATTCGGTTTGAGCTTGACAATCTTAATAATTTTGTTTTACAAGCAACGAAACTGAGCAATTATTTCTGAGTTGAACTTGAATATCATTTTTTGTTTTAATAGAACTAAAATATTTATTATTTTATGGTTCTTTATGCTTAAACTTTGTTTAAAATCTTTGCAAAAATATTTCTAGATTTACGATTAAATATACCACTGTAGTTTGGAAAAAATGAGGAATGAGATATTCTGACCTTCATTTTAAAAAAAATTAAAATGAGCTCTATTTTTAATTCATACTTATTTACTTTACCAGTAGTCTATTATATTTGCTATTATAGTTGATGATTTTTAATCTATTTTAATCAATCAAGAAGCAATAAAACTGAACCTCATGAAAGCCACTAGCAATGGCTGAGCGAATATCCTCATTAGGATCAGCACAAAATCCTTCAAGCAGAGGAAGCAAACGTTCTTTGAAATGCTCTTCATATAACAATACAAAACACTGAAACAAACGCAACCAAAGATTGCAACTTTTAATTGCTACCGTCCATTTGAAACCCTTCTACATTTTCCATCAAATATTCGCTTAATATTCCTCAAATTCTTCCACAGTCTTTTAACATAACCCATCTGCTGCTCAACAATGTTATATTTATTATATTTTATAAAAATATATTTAACAAACTAACTGGAAAATTATAAGCACACATTCTCCTTGCGACTGTTTGAATCGTATTGCTATCTGCAGTAGATTTACTGCTGGAAATCGCTGAAGGAAAGTTATGCGCTAAGTTTGCCAACCTAATGTATGTATCGAGGAACCATTTATATTCACAAGAATCAACCTCGTCCTAATCAAAAAAATTTTCTATGAATGATTATTAACTTAGTTGCATAAATTCAAGATCTGATTTATGGAATGAAAAGACGATGTATCATAAGGATGAGTGAGGATCAGTGATGACATAAACTGTAAAAAGTTTAGCTCCAAAAAAAAATTTTTCACCTTCAAATTGAATAACCACTTTCCGAGATTTTTCGCTACAACAGTTAGTGTAACATCTTGCAATAGAAGTGCTTGCTCCGTCGATCTTTTTATTAATGGAAATATAGCATTTTTCTTGCTTTCTGAAACAAAAGTTGATCCTATTTCTCTGAGGAAAAAGGATTAAAGGGATTTCAATCTCACGAGAAATATCTTAAAGATGGCTCAATGGTAAATATTCGGGAAATATTATTCTTTTGCCAGAAAATTTTAGAAATTTTGCTAAAAATTGTATTATATGAAATATTCTAAATTGATGCGAAAAAATAGCGATAAACGATTGCAAACAACCAAAAAGAAACCCCTGCTGAAACAAGGAAGGCAAACTGCGACCGTATCGAGTATAGCTTCACGTACTCCTATGTCATCATCACCACATAATTCAAGGAGACAAGGCAGTAGTAAAGTACTGCATTCACTGGTATCTCTGCAATTACCTTAATATTCAATAAAAGTTTGAAAATTCTACCCATTTTTTATATATTTAGAATGATTTTTTGTTAAAATAAATCATATATGTTCTATCGAATGAAGAATTTTCGCAAAATTTGTTTATGGTTATGATTTGATGCCTTCCTATTTCTCTTCTAACTGCATTCATTATTCCCTGCTTTGGCTGGTTTCACTGGCTATTAGGATGATATCTCACTGTCAGAGAATCACAAGTGGATAGAGGCACATGTGGGCTCACTCGATGTTTTTTATTTTGAGAATTCGTGTCCATTATTGCATATTGAGTGAATAATCCAATAGCAATCAAAAAAATACTTTTAGTGCATAACTTATAGAAATTTTTGGTTATTTATGCAATAATATTCAAATTTGTCAAATGAATATCGGCGTTCCGAATTGAGCAATAACCCACTAAACTATCCTATCTCACTGTACACCTGAGCATAGAGGACAAAAAAGAATGGTTTCTATGACTTTCATTACATCGGATCGAATGTCTCACTCTCACCTAACCAGGAATAGAAACTATCTAGTAAAATAGTGTATGCGTTCTCTTAGACGAAAATGAAAGATATTACCGATATTTTTTTGGAATTATAATGGAATTGAGAATGGAATTTTGGAGATTTTTTTAAAGCTACTATTTTGGAATTTTTTGGGAAATGGAATCAAGTCTAGAAAACAGTTCTTTTTATATTTTTAACTACAAATGGAAAAATAATTTAAGGATTATAATTTGCTTTATTGCTACCTGATTTTTCAGTAATTAAGAGTAGCTAACCTTAAAGAATTCGCAATCGTTCCAAGACGTTGAGCGATCGAATTTCGCACATTAACATTACTATCTTGGGAAAGCATCTTAACACATGTAAGCAATTCTTTACAAATCCTTTAAAAAATGCGAATATTTTCCAGTTATATATTTTGATTATCTAATTTATTTGGCAATATCATTTTTATTTTGAATTAATTTTTTAAGAATGCTAAATCAATTGTACTAATAATTATAAATAATTATAATTAGTAGCATTAATAATAATACTATTAATACTATTTTTAAGAATGACCTTCTTTCAACGGACATCGCTTCAATAGTTCGTCAGCCTATTCGATTTTAGACATGTTCATATGAAAGCATTATCAAAGAAAATTGGACTAAGTTTATGATATAAGATTTAAATTATTAGTACGGTCATTGGTGAAGAGGTAAATAATTGAAACACGAATGTAGGAACCATTCCAAATTTTAATAAAATTATCATTACTATTATTTTTATTGCTATTATTATCTTTATACTATTATTGTTATAATTATTATTATTGTTATTATTATTATTTATTTATTATTATTAGTACTATTCATTCAACTAAAAGAATGTTTCCGAAAGTCATATTTCTGAAAGCCACTTCCACGCTAGAACATACTAATAGAAAGTGCGATAGTTAAGCACTGGAAGCAATTACCCGACTATATGAAAAAGCTACCGAATGCCAGGAGATCCCAACTACCGGAAGGGGTTTCAAGAATTGCAACGGTAGCAGCGAGACAAAAATAACTATTGGAGCGATATGGCTTTGAGAATGGAGACGGGGGCTAGGTATCAGATAGGTAAAGATAAGAAACTATTCCGCCTTCTTCATAAAGTAACTATACCTGGGAAACGATCACTGAAATAGTAAATGGCAGCAATGGCATGGTTGTATAAAGGGTCGCCTCAAAGATGGAAGGAATTCTTTGACACCAAACTTAATCATAATGCGCCATCTGTTACCCCAGATATAGCTGAACAATCACCGAACCATACGCTTGCGAGCCGCCAACAGAAGAAGAAATAATCTCCGCTATCCATAAACTTAAGGACAATAAGACTCTGGGAGAAGATGGTCTTCAGGCTGAATTCTTTAAATGTTGTCCATTGTCCTTCATAACGCACCTTCAATAAATATATTACCTAATTTGGAAAAAAGAAATATTAGCAGATGACTAAAGCAAAGCAATTTTGCTCCCAGTTTTCAGGAAAGGTAATAGGACTGCGACAATTATCGAGAAAATCTTACTAGACAGTCTCAATGAAATTTTTGCTTCTACTCATTAGTCATATGTCAATACGGGACAATAGAATGTGCTCTAATCAAGCTGGATTCAGACCAGGGCGCGGTTGTAGCGACCAGGTATTCATACTAAGAAGGATATTGGAGCATCGCTTCAAATATCAGCAACCCAGCGTTAAGTGTTTCATCGACTTTGTGGCTGCCTTCGATTCAACTGATAGAATGGCGCTTTAGAGGGTGATAGAATGCGACGGTGTTCCAAAGAAGATCATTCGACTTAAAGGCATTTTATCAGCATATCCAGATCTGTATAAATAAGAATTGTAAATAAATGGGAATTGATAGACTCCTTCGAAATAAGAACTGGTGTCCTTTCCCTTGCAATATTCAACTATACGATAGAATGGATTATGGACACCGCTTGTCGGCACTCAACACTCAAGAGGAGTCCAAATTAGTCCAGAGCATAGTATTGCAGACCTTGAATACGCTGATTATATAGTTCTATTTGCTAAGAGTTATGATGAAATGCAAATAATGCAAAATAACGTGTCAACAACCGCAGCGAGAATAGGACTCAGGGTCAATAAAACAAAAGCCGTTTGAGAAAATGCCTGGTTTTAAATACTTTGGATCCACTCTAATACCGAATGGCTAGGCAAAAGATGATATTACAACTCGGATTACGGCAGCAAGAAATTCTTCAGTTTGACGAAACCTTTGTGGAGCCATCGTGAAATCACCATAAAAACGAAGATCCGCATCTGTATAGACACGATTCGATTAATCTTCCTATATGGCTGCGAGACATGGCTAATGGAGGATATTAAAAAGTTATCCGCCTTCGATCACCTCATATCTAAGGTACATTTTACAGGTTCGACAAGTGGACAAAATTTCACATGATCGCATCCACCTTCATTTAAATATTACTTGCATTAACGTTCCCTTCGCAGATTAGGATACATTGTTCGTCGCTCACCACAAGAATTGACAAATTTTTGTTAAATTGACAAATTTTTGTTAAATTAAACCCTGCGATTGGCGTCAAAAGCGAAGTGGGCCAATCAAGACTTGGACTTGATACGGTCAGGAAAGATTTTGAACATATAGGTGGACCAGCAATATATGGACTTAGACGATGGAAAAGGGAATAGCTTCTTTTACTGTCGACGATGGCATCAGACCGCGCCGCTTGGAATCATTTTACCCTTGTAGCCATTGGAGCCAGCCTAACCAGTAATGGTGTGAAATGTTAGAAGAAGTACTATTAATTCAGTTATTTTCCAGCGATGCTTAAATTAAAGCAATTTCTCGTTGAATTTAACATCTCACTCACTCATAAGAAGGTAATAAAGTCGAGAGCTTTTCGATTAATTTTGTTGCGATAACTCTTCGTTGAGCACGTTCTGCCGGATTGGCCTGTGCTATTGCAACTGGTACAATCTAAAAATTAGGTATTACAAAAGGAAATATCATCCAGTAATATTTACTAATATCACAAATAAATTATTTTCCTTGCAAAACTCTTTTAAAATAAATATTTCTTGCAAACCGAGATGGCATGGCTGAAACTTTGGATTGCAAATTAAATTTACTTAATTGTCTGAAATATTTTTTGGATATTCAAAAATTTTATAAGTTATCAAAATACCTTAAATTTCATATCTAGTAACTCGAATGTGCTAATATACGAGTCTATAGTTCAGCAAATTTTCACCATTAAAGAATGCCTACTTTCTTTCTTATATATTTATTTTCAAACAATTTCGCGATCATATTCCACCAGCAAATTATTTAAATCCATTTTTTTAAAAACTTTATCTTATCCATAAAAAACTAGCTTAAAAAGAATGTTCATAAAATTCGCAAAATTTTTCTTTTTTTAAAATTGAGATTTCCACTTTCTATCAATAAAAATCTCATTTAACGAAATAAAAACAAGATGGATGTGGTAGTACTTATAAAAACAATATATTTTTGAAATATCGAAGTTTGGGAAAAAATAGCAGATTTTTTTTTTCATTTGGCTATTAAAATAAGACCACTTCTACAGATAGTTAGCCACTTAAATGGTTCTCAATGGTTCATTTAGATCCTATTTTTAATTCACGTCAAGAGAAATCGAAATTATGATGGCTCGAGCGCACCAATATGCTGTCGCTTGTTTGATTTCATTTGGAATTGTAAGAGAAATAAAACAACTCCGAATTGTAAACTACTCAATAATCTATGATCGATTGGCTGAAACAGGCCACAGCCAGCATGGATTTTGCCCGAAGTAAGACCTTGGGCAATGCAAAAAAATTAAGGACTATTGAGGCGTTCTTTTTTTATTTCCAAAGACATTAGCTCATATATGAATTCGCTATAAAAGGATTTCGATTCGATTTTCAATAAAGGATACTGAATACTGATCACCGAAATATCAAATTGAAATAAACCGAAATAAAACATGTCAAATTTTTAAACCATTACAATTTTTTGAAAGTGAGGAATTCCCGAAACTCAAATTTAATTTAAACATGATAGAATAGAACTTTATACCGGAATCAAAAGAGAGAAATAGTAAGTATGTGGTGAGGCTTGTTTCACTGATGTTAATTGACAGGTTTATTCGTAACGGAGGAGTGAATCTGGTCCAATATCCACTCGTCTATCCCCATAAAGGCGATAATATAATTTATTATAAATAGTATTAAAAAATTATTTTTTCGGTAGTCTTCCGGCAAAAATAATTGAAAATATTTATCGAGAAATGCAAATTCTTAAATTAAAATAATGATTAAATTTGATAGAAAAAAATTTGACATAAAAAAGAAAAAAAATGCGTTTCGCGTAAAAAATCTTTTTAAAACAAAAATGATTGTTCGTTATCATAGTATTATTTATACAAATTTTATTAAAATGAATATTTCATTAAATCTTGGTCAACATGTAACTATCTGCAACTAACTGTTTCTAAAAATTAATTTTTTGGTGTTGCTTAGCTGTACTTCAATTTTCTAGTGAAGAAGCCTCATTCCTAATCATTGAAGCCAAAGAGAGGCAAGAAAATATCAAAATTTTAAATGACTAGCGAATCATGCGCTTTAAATAGCTCCAAATTCAGTAATAATTTACGAGATGTCATAAATCAGATTAAGCAAAATATACAAGCAAAAGTTTGCAGTTTTTTATAGAATTTCTGAAAAAAGTCCACAGTTTAATAATAAAACGATTGAACAAAAATTAAGCTATTGAAGAATCAGTAGATCAACAGATCGTATCAGTTTATTTATTTGATTGATTCATAATAATTGCTTATGAGTTATAGCTTTCAATAAAAAAAATACCGTTTGTGAAAGAACTTGAGTTGGTACATATTCGAGTATTTCGACAAGTGTTTCCAACCACGCAGCCGTTGACACTGAAAACATTCTGTTTCTTCCACTTTATTCTATATGTGTAAAGTTTCACATCCCAAACGTATTTGCATACCTTATTTATATGGAAAAATTGAAAAAAATGGTGTCATTGTTTATGAAACCTAAAAATATTCAAAAAAGGAAAAAATATAAAAATAAAAGAATTGTGACTATTTAATAAATAAGTGGTAGGCAATTAAGTGTTTTTATTTCTATGGTTATTTTATTACTATTGTTACTAACATTGTTTGTCAATGTTATCACTCTTATTAATAATATTATTATTAATAATATTGTTGTTGCTATTCTTATTATTCTTAATATGCATCATTATCGTCTATTTAATTGAGAGAAATCATACATACTTTCATATATTCTTATAGAGAAATATCTGCCTAAAATTATTTTGGGAGAAATAATTTTATACATATATATACTTACTGTTGAAGGTTTTTGTTATATTTGTTTTTATATAAAAATATATTTTATTTCATATATATGTATAAATATTCATTTATATTAATTAATTAACATAGTAATAAATATTATTAATAATAAATATTAATTTAAAAACATCGGAGAAGTAAATTTCGTATAAGTTTAGAAATTTTGGCTATAAAATAAT